CTGAGGGTCCCTTCTGAGGGAAGGCAGCACCCAGGGCAGCCTCCTGCCATGGCCAGAGGAGCCGGGCACTGCCTCGGGTTCAGGGCCCCATCCCAAACATCACTGAGGGCTTTGGGCTGGGAATTTCTGGGATCATCTGGACCTCCCCAAACCACAGGCAGGGACCCCTCCTGTTAAACCAGGCTCATCTGGAGCCCCCAAACCACAGGCAGGGACACCTCCTGTTAGACCAGGTTCATCTGGAGCCCCCCAAACCACAGGCACGGACACCTCCTGATAGACCAGGCTCATCTAGAGCCCCCCTAAACCAGAGTCCTGCTAGACCAGGTTCATCTGGACCTCCCCAAACCATAAGTAGGGACATCTCCTACTAGACCAGGTTCATCTGGACCCCCCCAAACCACAGTCCTGCTAGACCAGGCTCATCTAGAGCCCCCCTAAACCATAGTCCTGCTAGATCAGGCTCTTCTGCACCCCCTCAAACCACAGTTATGGACATCTCCTGCAAGACCAGGTTCCTCCAGGCCCCATCCAACCTGGCCCTGAGCACTCCCAAGGTTGGGACATCCATCCTCAGCTCGGTCACCTTGGCCAGGAGGAGCCCCAGCTCCTCTCCAGCCCTGGGGACACCGCTGTGACCCCCCAGAAGCACCAGCAGCCAGGCAGGGGGGCTCACCTGGGGGTCCACCAGCCAGCCGTGGTACAGTGGGATGTTGAGGAGGTCGAAGACGATGCACTCGGGGGTGTACTCGAAATCTGAGACCCCCGTGAACCTCACGTTGACGTCCAGCCCCGTGGAGAGCTTGGGCAGCACTGTCATGGTGTCACTGATGTTCTGGGGGGCAGCAAAACACGGGGAGGGGTCACTCCTGAAGGTGCCAGCCCAAATCCTGCAGCCAGCAGGGCTGTGTGCTCTGGGGGGGCTCCTCACCTGCTGGAAGTTCAGCTGCAGCCCCTCCGAGGTGTCCTTGGGTTGGGTGGCCAGGATGCAATTCCCTGTGAGACAGCGGGGTCAGAGCCCCCCCAGGGAATGTGGGGGTCCCACTGGAGCCCCCCACCCTGTTCCTGGTGCCACAGCAGGGTCCCCACTCACCCAAATGTGCCATCAGCTCCTCGGCCGTGACCACCTCTGTCTGCAGGGGCAGCTTCACCTAGGGGCAACCAGAGCAGGCTGGGCATTGATCCCATCCCATCCCATTGATCCCATCCCATTGATCCCATTGGTAACATCCCATCCCATTGATCCCATCCCATCCCATTGATAACACCCCATTGATCCCTTCCCACTGATAACATCCCATCAATCCCATCCCATCCTATCTCATTGATCCCATCCCATTGATCCCATTGATCCCATTGATCCCATCCCATCCCACTGATAACATCCCATTGATCCCTTTCCCATCCCATCGATCTCATTGATCCCATCCCATCGATAACATCCCATC